ACGGTTTGGCCACTCGTTACGGTCCGCGAATCAAAAGAGGGTTAACCTCTTGCGCTGGAGTGACCTGCCGCGCACATCGAGAATATTTCGCCAAAAATTGCAATATTTTCTCACAACCCAGGGAAAAGAAATAATAAATTTGTTACTTTTTAGTAATTTTTATGATACCAAAGGAAAAGCAATAGTAGAAGACAGTAGAAAGTTCTTTCTACTTTTCACATTGTTGTACCTTTTGCTTTACTTTTACCTTTTACTTCTACTTTTACTTATAGTTTCCTACAAGTGGATGAGCAAAAGGCAAATTAGATCTATAAGACGCAGGAGACACTAAGGATTAGTTATAAGGGTAGAAAATAAGAACAGTGCAGATCCATTGTAAACCAAAAGCCTAAACCCATCCTAAGCCGCCTAGGCAAGGATTATATACAAATAACTAATAAAATGATAATAGTAATTTGTATCCAGTGATGTACCGATGAATTCGAAAGGAAGACGAGTTTTATTGTATACGATTTGGCCACTCGTTACGGCCCGCGAACCAGTTACTAGCGAAAGTGGTTAAATTCGTCTCTCGCGGGACACCAACGTTTTCGTATAGAATTGGATGAGCAACATCTGTCAGCCTTTAACATCCATCTTCTTCTCGTGGATGGATGCTTATCGCGTATCGATGTGGAAAGTAACGGAGGATAAAATCAACGCTCGTCGCATGACTACAGTTAATAATGTACGTCGGGAATTGACGTCCATCGTAGATGTACATTGTCGTGTAGCATATTGGAGAACCTACGGAACGTACATACATACATGTGTGTACGTCATTCTCATTTTTCCTCGACGTATTTACGCTGTGACGGACGTTGGGAACGTATCGACGCACGTTCTGTATCGCACCACGCGGTCCGTTGTTTCCCCAAGCCCTTTACCAACCAAAACAAAAGGAGCAACGCTTAGTTGTGTACTGTTACGTCCTTGCGAAATGTCTGTTGCAAGGCTCCCCATTGGAATGGACGTCGTTTCTAGTCTTCTTAACCTCGCGTTGTCACTGACAATCTTCTCATATTTCTTTCACTAGTAAGCAGAGAGAGATATATTTTCAAATTTACACTACTCGTACAAAGAAAACGGTATATTCCTGCGCAACATGCATACACACAGAGGATAAAATAACGGACTCTGTGAGAGATCGTACAATTGGGTACGTGATAATTCCGAGAGAAAGTCGAAAAAACACTTGCATCCCAACGTGGAAGAGAAAAAAATTACGACGTATTCTATTCCGGGCGGTTCGTTTCGAAATGATTCTCCCTGTGGCGATGATTTCGACGATCGGGACGATCCGCGTACTGGCCGGAAGTGGATGGGCAACGCCTGGAATTAGAGAGTCGATTGAAAACTAACACGGTACTCTTCTTAACCTCTCTCGGGGGCGCCGGGATCTCAACGCGTGCGCAACGATCGAGCCTCGATTATTATCCACTTTCGAGCACGCGAACAACACGGTACTCTTTCTCTCTCCTTCTCTCGGGCACCTTTGGCAAATGACTTTTCGTTTCGAGCCGCCCGTTGGCCAGACGAACGTGCTCTACGCAATTAGACAGGCGCTGGTGATTTCAACGAGCCACCATTTTCTCGTCGTTGGTTGTCTCTTTCCTCGCCCCCCGTGTGTGTGTAATATGAATTTAAAGGGAGAAAAAGCGATAGCGCGTACGGTCTAGATGATAGTTCTCGGTTCTCCGTCGCTGGCCAAGCATGAAAAAGTAACAAGAGAGAGAGAGAGAGAGGCGAAAAATGCTGTTGGGGCGGATTGTGTCGTGAAAAAGGGGCCAAAAAGTGCACGCGGAGAAGGTACGAAACTCGATACAGCCGGTCGGATCTCAAGGCCCTGGAACGCGATATCCCTGATATTCTTGCCGACGTGCATGGATCATACTCGGGGCCCACTGTTAACTCGCGCTGCGCTAAGAAAAAAAGAAAGAAGGAAAAAACAGACCATCGCCGTAATCGGAATCAAATCTCTATCTGTCGCTGGAGAAGCCGGCGGTGTCTGCCTGCGACTTCTTTACGACTTCTGCACTCTCGGAACCACGCTCTCGCGGCGGTTGACCCTCTGACACCGCGCCGACGGGCCCAACGCAAGAATTCCCTCTCTTCTGTGAGAGCCGAACGAGTTTCCAGAACAGATGCTCCTCCGTATTTCCTTTCCCAGTTGATCTCCGATTTGTCGCCTTCGATCAGGATCTACTAACCGCGATCTCGTCGTCGCCGATCAATCTGTTTTGACGGTCGTTGATCTCACGAAAGAACACGCGATTCCGATTTTTCCGTCATTTTTCATCGATCTCTCCGTGTTCTCTCGTTCGTTTAGAGAGAACAATTTTTCTTTCTTCAACTCGTGTTTATTTTGCGAAAACATTTGGAGCCGAAGGATTCCTAATTTTAGACACGACTGTCGAAAATCGGTACCAGTTGTTTGATGATCGTTACGAAAATAGCAGCCATGAAAATTCGATGAAAATTCGTTTCATTTCAAAAAGAAGAATTG